TTTGGCAGTTATAATGTTATGCTTAGATTGCTTTCCTTTATAGTACTGTAGATTCCTGAAGGCTGGAGTAGCTTCAGCCTTTATTAAAATAGCATAAGTCAAAAGGTGTGGAGGGAGCTATTTGCGTTCCAAAGTGTGAGTTCACACAGGCCAGTAATGGAAAGCTAGTAATGGTCTGAATTCATCGTGCAACTTATGCCAAGAACATTCCTGTATGGAAAAGTCTGCGTGCACTACATGAAATTTTGCAAGTACGGCCAGTCTCATTTTTAGATGAAAATAAATGTTTTGTCAGGGTGTGGGAAAACTTGAGACTTGTTCATGTTCCTTGAGCAAGTCTTGCATACTTTTTAGTAAAATTAACAGGAAGATTGCACTATTCCTACCCTTGGAAAAGAGAGGTGTTAAAATATTTTCCTTTAAGAAAAGGTTATATTAAAAATTCTTTTTTATAGATCCACCAGTAAATATGGAAAAGTATGCTTATTTACACCTAGCTGCTGCTTTTTGATTTGTGAAAGAACACTTTCATCCAAACCACACCGACAGCCAATGTTCAGAAGTCTATTTGCACACAGTTACTTTTGTTTTCTTTTTCAATAAATAGGCTTCTGTTGCTTGTACTAGCTTCAGTTACCACATTAGATTTGGAAATCATGTCAAGTACGTTGCTTTAGTTTAATCCTCTAATAATTCTGGCATTTGAGACTGTTGTAAGCTAAGTATTGGGAAAAGAAGGGTCATAACCTCCTAGTCACTGAGTACATGCTGTTGGTCAGAGATACCGATTATGATGATCAGTGTCTACTGCTTGCGGCTGTGCACGGCTTGTGGAAGATGCGTATAAAATCACCTTAATCACAAAGCAAATAACTGCATGCAGCAATAAACTGCATTCTTTGTTCTCTATTTTTTTTTTCTTCTGTGACCCTACTGCAACAGGAGACTTGGTTTGTCTTGGGTATATCATGTTGAATCAGGCTTTAAAGTTGGATTTGTATGTTACTTGTGCATAAAAGCACTTCCGTTAAGAGATAAACGTGTGCATGCACAGATATATTAATTATATTTTAAATATATGCTAGATTTTAAAGGTATATTGGGTTGCATGTGTGGCAGTCACTCTAGTTTCATGCTGTAAGTTACAATGCACGTATGAATTAAAATAATCTTCACAATGACTCCTTTGTTTATAAATGTATCCTCTGTTACCCCAGGAAGCCCTTACATCACAAATTACACTTTTGAATTCATGCTTTATTTTGCAATGCATGAATTTCTAGAAAACGTTTGCAAAGATCTATGGCCCAATTGGTGCTAGCTAGAGCACACTTTTTGGATTGGAGGCAACTCGAGTATGTTTTACATGAAAGAATTTCTATTAGCTTTCCCAGTGAGCTTTTTATTAAAAGTTGTGTAAGCATGTGAAGCTCTAAGATTGAAGTTGTTTTTGAAAAGATTATGGGTCCTTATCTTAGTAGGAAGGAGCACTGTGTGACTAAAGCCATAGCCATTGACAGTGGCCTTGACTTTTTTAAAAAAAAAAAAAAAAAAAGCCAACAGCTGTCTCATGCTGGTACATGATAAACTGCAGCTCTCTCTGTAATACAGAAGAGGAGAAAATTGTGGTGTTATGAACACCAATGTGAAAACAACTGTATAATGAGTCCTTTCCTAAGTAACTAGCAAGTGAATTTGTTTTGATTATTTTTCCGTGTTGAAATATTTAATGTTAAATGATAGGCTAGGAGTTGCATGAAATCACATTTTTTCAGGAGGTGAACATTCTTTCTTTCTTTAACTGAAATTAGTCTGGGTTGTTCTTTTGATGATGCAATTTTAAAATTACATTGATCTTTTAGGGGTGCATGTGAAACAACTTCATGCTAAGACTCATCAGCATTTGCACAGCTCTAATATTGGTGAAGTATTTTGAAACAGATTTATTATTATAGACATTTTTTGGCAAACTATTCTGTTTGCATCCCAAGATAAATAGATATTAAACTTGCTTTGGACTGAGTTGTGCTCTCTCACACCCTACATGAATTCAGAAGTTTCCAATACTGTTGTTGACGCTTTTTTTTTTTTATAAGAGAATAACCTAACTATGCTCCAGCAAAATGTTGAAGCTGAAAATGTTAAGACAATTACTTTGCTGATAGCATGCCCACTAAAATATTGGATTCGTGACTTTGAGTTTATTGCCTAAGCTGATTGGAAATTATCTGTTTTCTAATAGTTAAACTATGGCAAATATCATATCATTTTGATCCCATAAGCAGAATTTCTAGCCTCCTTAGCTGAGACTTGGATGTGATCTTACTCATACTAGGAAAGCTAAGGATGTTAGGAAAGATCTATGAGCCTACATGTTTTAATAATCTGGAAATATGGAATTCTATAGAAATATATTAGAGCATCGTATTATTTGAACGATGAAGAGGGGTATTAGGCCTGTGTTGGTATGAGAGGACGAATAAGACTGGCTATTTATCAATGTCACTGTAGAGCTAAATAGTAGCTCTTTGTTTATTCTGATAAACTTCCCTGCAAATCCATATTTAGTCACATTCACGTGTTACTTCTGTTAATTATAGCTGCTGTTAAATTGGGTGCATCAAACAGCAGTAGTGATCATGCAAACATATAGCTCCTAATAACTTATAATTTAATAAACATACATGAATAAACTAAAAATTTGTTAATTTAATATTTATTAAACTAAGTATAACTTAATAAAACTATTATTACTCTTGACCCTCAAGCAAAAGACATAGGTAGAAGATTCTCTCATAGTCATCTTGGCCTTGTCTTTTCCTAAAAAAAAAAAAAAAAAAGTGCATCAGTGAGTGAACTAGAAATGAAGTTACTTAAGAATTCATTACTTATAAATTAATTAGCGGGTCAACTCAGGCACTTTGTGTAGTTTTTTTTTTTTAATTTAATTAAAAGCAGCAAACTGTTTAGTCCCAAGATTTCTCTCTTTTTTTTTTTTTTTAACCCCTTATGACTGTCTTTCCCTGAAGTTCCAGTAATTAGGAAAAATAATCTTTGTTAGTCTTCCATTTTGTTTTTTCTTGTAACTGCTTTTCTGTTTTTATTAATCACAATATCATATATGTGGCCTTGGTCTGAAGAAAATAAAGCGTTATTAAGACAATTAAAAGCTTTACATTACTTGGTTGTTTCCAGGTTGATTTTGTGTGTCTTTGTGAATGTCTGTACAATTATTATCTTGGTATTTTTAAGGGAGGGAGCAGCTTCTGAAAGGGAAGGGTAAAGGGAGCACTTAAATCAATCTTGAGTTTGGTTACATTTACCGACATGGATAACGTCTAGTTCAGGAAACATTGATATAAACCTGGCATTTATTTGTCTTTCAGGTCTAAGTGTTTCTGTGAAAGTACTTCACCTTATCAGGGGGAGGGGATCTGGGAAGGAAGGTTTTTATCAGGTTTATTTCTTAGCTTGAGAGTAGGCAAGTGAAAGCTTCATCTGTTGCCATTGCTCTAGAAAGGGTGGGTTGATTGAAAAGCTTGCGTGTGCCGTCAACATAATAAGGAATAAAAATGTCAGGAGACCGTTCATTAACCTCTGATGCATTTAAAGACAGGACCCAGGGTTGGATTTTTTGTTTGTTTGTTTTTTAATTTTGTGCTAAGTGCTTTACATGATATGTAGAAAAGTGAGACTGGAAAGATTTTGTGACTTTTATATAAATGGACTTAGAGATGATCTGTTTTAAGGTTTAACTAAGGAGAAAGTTAAAAGGGATGAACTAAATGGCCTAAAGAACACACTTGATTTTGAGGCGGATGCTAGTCTTACAAGGACTAACATCAAGCAAGTAGAAAATACTCACAGTAGAAAGTCGGTCAGATTTGAGAAGGCAGACAGGAAGTCACCTTGTTTATTTTGAACTTCCTAGAGTAAACAATTAGAGGGCAAGTGATTTTAAAAGGGTATGAGGATCAAAAAAGAGGATTGTTTCTGGCCCTGGAGTTTTTTCAGATTTATAAGCCTCTGTTTGTGGGACTAGTAACAGACTTCAGTGCAGAAATAATTGGAGTTACAGCTCTAGTGGTGTGTATGTGAAAACCCTGTTAAGAGCACCCCTGTAGTGGAGTTCTCAGGCGCCTCTTTAAGCTGCAGTCCAACAGGCATTTCTTCTGGTGGACAGGCCTAAATAAGCAGCTACCTGTCCTCTCCATACCCGTTCTCCAATTTTTTTTCTCTCCCGATCTTGCTCTGAAGTTGCTTGTATTATTATGTGGTGAAACACATTAAGGAATTGACCTGGGTAAAAATTCCCTCGTGAAAAGGGAGAGGTCTGGTTTTGTCTGTTAGCCCAGGTGATTTCTCTGATACTGGTTCCTTTGCAGTTGCACAGGTGGTTGCCCTGAAGTAGCTGAGGGGATGAGGTGCTCAAGCAGCAAGAAGTGCAGGTGCTTAAGCAAGTGCTGTCACTGAGGCAGGCGCTTCACAAACTATAGCTGTAGAAGAGATTTAAGCTTCCTGTATTTTCAGTGGACGCAACTTGCTGTCTGCAGATGTGACCAAACTGCAGAGTGGGCGCTGACTCAAGCTCACTATTCCTTCAGGATGCCCTTGCAGCACTTTCTTTTGGGACAGACAAGTTTTCCTCCAGTGTCTCAGAGAGAATAAATGGAGCTTTTGTGCAGAACTAAAAATTACAGGGGGTCCCTCTGAGAAGATTTAGCATAACACTGCTGTGCTATTGTGGACTGCTCCTGCCCAAAATAAGCCAGGCTAGCTTCAGAGGGATTTCAAAACATGCGTAACATCTGTGAGTACTCAAAATTCTTAGATACTTTGGAAATTCTGCCTCTAGTTAAATTCATGAAATTATCTCCCCTCAAGTCTTTAAATCATTAAAGGCTATTTTGAAGGTCAGAGTTGCTAATGCCCATGCAAGTTGATTGTATTCTCTCATAACTTGGGAGTAGTGCCTAATAGTTTTATCGTTTTATTTTTAGATTTATTTTGGAGAGCAGCAGTCTGTTCTATCTGTGATCTACAATGAGTGCCAAGTCTGCAATTAGCAAAGAAATTTTTGCCCCACATGATGAAAGGATGCTGGGAGCTGTCCAAGTGAAAAGAAGAACGAAGAAAAAGATTCCTTTTCTGGCTACTGGGGGTCAGGGTGAATATTTAACATACATCTGCCTGTCAGGTAAGATAAATGATCTTGACATCTAGCTGTGTTTTGTGGTTTATCTTTGAAGTTTGATTAACTGATCAGATGTTGTCCATAGCTTTAAGGAGTTGGGTGACTTGAATGTTAATAGTGTAACTAGAGAATTGTGATAGTCACATCTTTAATCTTGGTAGCCTTGAGTGCATGGTTTCTTAATATTTATACCATATAAAAAAATCAAAGGGATAGCTTCATTGTTAACAATGAGAAGTTCTCGCAGAGCATAGCTGGAAAGTATGAAAAAGTAGATAAAATATTTGGAAACATTATCTTCGGTAATTGAGGTTAAGATCTTTGTTGGAGGGATGAACTTTACGTTGTAGTTGCTTTTTATGCTCTTAAATGTCTTGGTTGTTTGAAACAAATACCCTTTCCTTTCTTTTTACGTTTGCCTCTGTACATTACCAGTTCGTTAGGTCCATAGATAAGTAGCTTTCCGCTGGAATATTTTCAGCTCATTAAACAAAGCAGTGCTGTTATGTGTCAATCGTCTAATTTCTAAAGGGATAGAAGATGGAAATATTTGAGTTGAAGGAGAAATGGAAATGTAAAGACCCTTTTGAGAGGTCATGGCGGAACAGGGAGAAATGATCTGGTTTTTGCTAATTTGTTCAGATGAAAATCATTAAATGTCTCCGGGCTTTTACCAATACAAGTAAGAGTTTGACTTTTGTGGAACAGACTAGGTAGTAGTAGTTGTGTGTTGTCTTCATGTTTTTACTCCTCCTGGTGAGGGTACAGTTAAATTTTTAAAATGTATAGATGAAAACCATTGGTCTAGTAACTTAGGATATTTTGGATATCTGACCCAAGATGGATTAGATCTTAGAACTGTAATGAAAGCATCCTACTGAAGAAAATAGACATTATTACAGTTTTTCTTCTGACTTTTTTCTTAGATTACTCTAATTTTTAATCTTATTCAAAATTTAATCTATAAATCAATCTTTTCCACAGTGAATATTAATTTAAATTTTAGAACAGCTGAAAAAATGAGTGTGTGGTTTTTTGTTTTTTTTTTTTTTTTTAACTACTTACATAGTTCCCTGTAATTTTGGAAATTAAAAGCTTACCGAAGAAGGAACCTAGAGATAATTTAGCAGGAAGGATTAAAAAAAAAATTAAGGTAAACAAGCAATTTGTCAATTGAGTTTCACATATTTAATTTGCTCTCTTTCCTTCCTGTCTCCTGTCCCTGCCCCCAAGTAGTATAAACTGTTTAGACTTGTCAAAGAAATATTTTGTAAGTAAAGAATAGTAGATCTACTCTTTCCTCTTGCCCTGTCATCTTATAACTATTTTCCTTATGTATTTATTTGAACAGTTTAATTTAGGAAAGCAGTGGACCTGTCATTTAGGTATTAATGATTACCTTAGTGTGATTCTGTGTCTTCTGATTTAACTGGTGACTCTCTTTGCTACCCAAGACTTACTCAAGTTTTAATGTCATTCAAGATCTCAGGCCATGAGGAAGAATGTTTATGCAATTGTCTGGAATGTGCTACTTTGGGGTTGGGAACAGCTGGTTAGCCTGTGTACTGCCTGAAGTCATGTCCATCAAATTTCTTTTGCCTCCCAAAGCATCTGCTCTTGCTTTTGCTTCCTCCTTTTGAACAACAAGTATAATATTTAGTCTGTCCTGACATTCTGATTTTCTATTATTTAATTTTTTCTATTATTTAATATTTAACTTACTGCAAATTTAAAAAAAAAAAGTCATTTCTTTCAAAATTAAGCTAGGTTGGTACATTATGGCTGAATGGATATGAATGATATCCAGAGGGAACACCCTGAAGAAGGAAGTATTTCTTAAAACAGTGTATGTATGTGTATGTAATCTCTTCTTGTGGTATTTTTCTCATGATTGATTGCTCATATCATGAGTTTATGGCCCTTTATTTTTTTTCTTCTTTTAAAAAGGTAATTAAGCTTGTACTTTTAATGCTTTCTGGTTATTGCTGTGGCATTTACCTTCATTTCAGTTAAGATTGTCTTAAGATTAAGAGTTTGAAAGCAGTTTATGATCCTGACTTACCTGTAGCTAACACTTATTTCCAAACTTGGAGTGGAATTCAGTGGCCTGCAGGTAGGCATCCAGTGCAATTTTAGATTTCCAAAGACATCCAACCTTTCCTCTAGATTCCTCTCCAGAAAGGCAGAAGTCCCTTGTAGTCTCTGTCATGTGTCTACCAACTAAGTGCGGACAAGTATCTTTGATATCCTTGGGTGCTTTAAGTGGTCACTTACGTTTTTAGGTATATTACTCCCTCTCTTTGAGTTTATGTATCTTACGGGGAGGGGAAAAAAAAACCCTAAGGATCAAAGGAAGAAGTGCTCTGTGAAGTTCTCAGAAGACTGCTGTTATCTTTGGAGTAAACAGAAGATAGTTTCTTGGATTCTCTTTCAAATTTCTTTCCACTCCAAACTATGTTAATACTTTCAAAATGTAGAAAGTAAAACCCAATGATGCCATTAATGTAGTAAGGCATCTCACACATGCACACAAAATATACGTTTATAGAATATGCTGCCAAATAGCATTTGTATGTGTACCTGCATATGTGTACTTTAAATATAAGCTGCAGAATATGTGCTCACACGTTCTAAGGGCAATGAGGCAAAACAGATTTCTCATTCCTAGCAGAATGTTTTGCTTTGCCATTCTCCTCATATAAAAGAGCTTCAAGGAAGGATTTAAAAATTTTTTCACCCAGGCTCTTCAATAGACTTGTGGTTGGAATATTTTTTCGGGTTGTAAGAATTGCGGGTTTGAATCGCCTCTGGCTGAGCGGGAAACTGAATCTGTCTCCCTTCTCTTAAACAAATGTTCAAATCACTAATCTATTTAGAAGCAGGGCTCAGCTCTTCTTCCTTTAGCAGTCCACTCTTTCAAGTGTCCAGCACCATGTAGTTAGCTTTGGGATACGTATACTGCTCATAAGGAAAGGCTAGAGGTATGATCTGTACTTAAAATTTTCTGTGGGTTAATTCTATTCAAAGATGGAATTTTTGTATCACCTTTTTGGGGAACCTAGCCCATTTCTGCTCCCGACCCCCATGCTGATGCGTAGCAGTCAGCATGGAGTTGAAAAGGGTAATGCATGATATGACTGGGGAAGAAACAGCAGATGTCGTGATTTCAGCAGCATTTTTGACATTGACCGTAAGAAGTATCCAGGGTCTAAATTAAAACTGTTGTAGGGTGCACTACAGAAATGTACTTGGAGAGCATGGTTCTCCATGAATTGGTGGGATTCTGCAGGGATTTAAGACCAATTTTATTAAATATGTTTGTATATTTAGTATATACAGTATACTTGATAATCGGTAGACAAGAGATTGGGGAGAGAACCGCATGGTTGTGCATGTTTGAAAACAGTACTAGAATTCCAGATAGCCTGCCTTAAGACGGGGGAAAAAAGAAAAAGAAAAAAAGAGAAAAAACAAAGGTGTGTGTGGGGGGGGAGAATGTGCAAGTAATTTAGTCGAGAATACTCGATGACACAAAGTAAAAAAGGTAGGGAACAACTGCTTTTGCCGCTGTAGTTAAAAGAAATGGTGATGAGAATAAACTACCTTTTGCTATCACTGATGAATATGAAGCGATTATGATTTTGGTTGTAGCAAGAAGGAGTTGTGTTACATGTTAAGGAAAAAAGCATTCATATGGTAAGGACAAGTTGATGTTGGAATAGGAATTGTACTGTATCCCCAAACAGTAAAAGATGAACCACATCTCGTCACCTGATGACTTTATGTTTTTCTGTGATACAGTGCAAAGTGTGAGAAGCTAAAGGGCTAACCCTGGGTTTTGGTTTCCACTTGAAAGGTGCGTGCTTTAAAGTCAGGTGTTCTGATACCTGTTTTGGAAACACCTTTGTTAGCCTTTGACTCTTGTCCCATTTTTCCTGGGTTTGCTGTGTATTAGGTAAGTGTAATGGCCAGAATACCTTTGTGTTCTGAGTTTCCTTAGAGTAATTCAGTTTGTCCTTTGAAAGTAATTTGATGATTTACTGTTGAAAACAGAATTTATCAGCTGAAACAATACCCATAGAAACTGACTTGTTAAGAAGCTTACAAATTTTGGGGGATAGAAAACGTCCTGTCAAGTTGGAGTTGCGTTCAGTACAGAAATCTAAGCATCGGCCAATTGTAATAGTTATTTTTACTTACTAATCAGTATGTAACAGACAAATTGCATGAATTGTTAAAACTGGAGTTAGTTTTCCTTTGTGTTGAATTGAAAATACATTATCAGGTATTTGTTTGCATTTTTTGAATTCTGGATAGAGATACTGAGCAGGGAGAGAAGAAAGCAGCACTGAAGTGCCTGCCTTCTTCTCTTAAGTGTTTAGGTCTATAAGAGAGTAATAGATGGGATACTGATGCATTGATAAGAGTCAAGTATTGAACAGAGCAAAATGGGAAAATAAGGGAGAATCCACCTTAAAATTTGTATTTGAAGTATATGCCTGAGTTTATACTTGACAATATTAAATACTGAATTGCTTAGAAGGAAATATTCATTAATGCTCCAAGAATGTGAACCTAAAGCCTGTCAATGACAGGTCAATGTAAGAGTGCTGTAGCAAGACTGCTCACTGCAAAGGTGGGCGCTGAACTGCTAGATTGCCTGCAACCTTCTGCCTCCTGTAGTGACAGTCCTGACAAAGTTGGACTGGCAAGCACGGCCAAGAGAGATCTTTTGGGAGTTATTTAGTCAAAGAAGAACAGCCAAGCAAGGAGCAGACAGATGGGAAGCACAGAGGTGCGGTGTCTGTAGGCAGAACAGAGGATGAAAACTGAGATTTTTTTCTTGATGCAGAAAAGGATCTGACACAGAAAAAAGGCAGGAAATTCAAAGTTGAAAGTGGATATTTCTCACCTCCTCCACACTAGCAGATCTGGTGACAGTTATTGAATCAAACCTGAGTTTTAATTTTGCCATCATTGTCTTACATAATTGAAACAAAATT